CGCCTGCTCAGGCGCAATGACGCACTTCATTTCATCAGTGACAACCCCGACAATGGCAGCAAAACCTGACTTAAGGCTGGCCAAAACATCACCCTGCCCCCCCCCACCCCACCCCCGACAGCCGAATACCGTCGATGAACTGGCTAGGGGGCGGGAACCCCCCAGCCGAATATTCGGGAACGTGGCCATGCAGTTCATGCGCACGTCAATCAGAACCAGGCAGCCGCCAGCAATGGCCCCTCGGAGATCCACGAGAACACCTGAAAGGAAACCTGAACGGTAAATCAACTGGTCAGTAAGGCGGGCACATATAGTAAATATGAACCACAGACGAAGAGAACCCCAGACCGACGCACCTGGACTCAGACAGAGCCATGGGCTCATTGATAGTATGGGGGAAGTCCCCCATGAAAGTTGCAACACACTCGCCACCTCGCGCAGATCGAGCAGCACGCGCAGGCAAGTGCCGCACAACGGACTTGAAGCCTTTTTCCCTAAGAACATCCACGCCGAATGCCCCCGCCCCCCACCACCACACATTGACGCGCCCCAGAGACGGCGCGGGGACGCGGAGGTGCTGGAAGGACACTGCACGCCCGCCGGCTTTGAAAGCGGCGCGAGAAAAACAAGCCACGAGTGGCTGGGCAGACGCGACACAATTACCACGATGACAAACACGCGCAAAACCACCTCCAAGAGAAAGTCGCACGCCAGGCTGTAGCGTATCATGTAGAAGCCGTCGGCACCGACTGCAGAGCGCGATGCGCGGCCGCGGATGGCTGCCCGAACAGCCCGCAAGTATGCCCTGGGCCCAGACACCTTCGTAGCAAGGTCGGCACTGTCTCACAACGCATCAATGTCCACGACATCGCCAACCAACCAAAGCCTAAAAGCGTCTACCCTTCGCATCCAGCAGCGACGGAGGGTCTGTCCGCATCTGCCCAGCCGCTGAAGAGCGTCGCGGAAGGCCTCCAACTCTCGACGGGCTCCGCCCAGGCATGCGCCGCTCGGGCACCCCAGTCGATGTCATTCGAAAACCACCCCTCCCAGGACCGCTCCGCTTCCGTCCTGGCTGCCGAGGACGCGCTGACGAGCGCCCAATCCCGCTTCGACAACCAGGCGGCGCAGGCCTAGTCGAGCGACGGCTCGGGCAATCAAACTACTTTACAAACTCGTCCCGACGCCCGACGCTTACCCATGCCCGACGCATCCGTCTAAATTTCAGCGGCGCCAGGGAAGTCACCCGAGCGCGCCGCAGGCCGCCCCGAATTGCCCCGTCGCGCCACTGAGGCTCGCGCAACTGCGCCCTCCAAGCGCGGCGCGAACGCGCCAGCCACAGCGCGGCATACAAAGTTGGGTGCTCACCTGCCCCACATGCCTCCACAGGAGATCAGCCCGCCAAACTTGCGGCGGCGCGTTGCCCCGCAGCCCCAACTTTGGCAAAAAGGCCCGGGGGGGGGGCCCGCGCAGGTCCGCGTCGGCGAGGTTGGCCCACCCTGTCCGCGCCCATAGAAGCGACAAGCGCCCCGAGAGCCTCTCCTGGCAGAGCCAGGCACTTCTCTCGCCAACGCTGCGACCCCCCGACCCATCGCTGGGCCCAGGTGCTGGCGCCGCAGGCAAACTCGACGGCGAGCGCGGCGGCGTCCTGAAGGTGAACGCCTACGCGCCATAACTGCTGCCGATAGAAATCCATCGCCGAGAGGGCGCGCAGGCGCGCGGAACGAAGGCTTCGAACCCCCAGTAGACACAATAGAACAACCGCACGCCCTGATCCCTTTGAAGACTCTCGCGCGCTCTCAAAGGAGCGGGCTATTTGGGCCTCCATGCTCAAGTCCCCCACGACGACGCAGGACCCCGCGCCGTGAATTTCAGCGGCCCTCACTTGAGCGAAGATGGACAAATTATCACCGCTCCAATCCTGGCAGCTGCACAAGGAAAGGCTCTCGAGAAAGATGGGGTCATCCTGTCCGGCGCGCATCCAAGCTGCCATCGCAAGGTGCTTCACAATACTGGCCCCACCGACGGCTTCTTAGAGGCCATCAATCGTCGAAACAAAGTCGCCGCACCTGCAAAGGTGCCGCTGTCACGGCTCATCTTGGCTGGTTCGAAGAGGGCCTTCCACCCTTGCTTTAGCGCCCACCTGTGGGCATCCGCGATCGGATCCTGACGAGGATGCATCTCCTGAAATAGAACCACGCGAACCTGGGTCTCAGGGAGCCAACCCTGGGTCGAGGACTATCAGTGCAATTACAACTGCAACTATTCAACTAGGAAAAATGATACCGGAGAAAAAAACCGATCAGATGGCTTGTAGGGCTACAGGGCTATAGGGCTATAGGGCTATTGGGCTATAGGGCTATACGGCTATCGGGCTATAGGGCTATAGGGCTATCGGGCTATAGGGCTATAGGACTGTGACCTATAGGGCCATAGGGCTATAGGGCTATGGGGCTATAGAGCTATATGGGCTATGGGGCTATAGGACTATAGGGATATAAGGCTATTAGGGCTATAGGGATATAAGGCTATAGGGCTACAGGGCTATAGGTAGGGCTACTGGGCTATTGGGCTATTGGGCACCCCCGGGCACCCGGGCACCCCCGGGCACCGCACCCCCGGGCACCCCCGGGCACCCGGGCACCCGGGCCCGGCCACCGAAATCGGCCACCCGGGCATCCCCCGGGCACCCGGACGATCGAGACACCCCCTCATCACCTGCCCTGTCAAAGGGTGGTAACGGGGGGCCCAGGAAGGCTTGAGAACAGCTGCGGCACGGGCACGCCCACCGGGTCCCGACGCCGCGCCACTGCTACAACCGCTCGACGAACCAGCTGTCGCACCTAGAGTAAGCGGCACCTCCGACACCCCGTCCCTGTCGCGCTCCTTCTCTCCCGTGGCGGCATCGGCCGTGGAACCTGTGCCGGCATCCGGCCCTGCCCTGGCCCCAATCAAAACTCCGCCCTCACCATTCGTGTTGGTTGCCCCGATCGCGGCACGTTGCCATTGTGCTCCGTCTTGCTATCGCTTGCCTTCCCTTCCCAATGGGATCCAGGCACAAACTCTGACTGGCCGCATTGAGCTCATTGCTAAAAAGTGCACTACATGTTTCCATCTTTCCGAGGACCTCAGCATTGACTTCGTAAATGTCCTCGTTTGCGTTGGAAGCCCCGTCGGTGCACAACATCTCGTCGGCCTTACGCTTCCAATTCAGGAGATCCGAAACCGCAACATTAGACTGTTAGCCCGAAGATGGATCGGCTGGACGCGCGGCACACCCTGCCAACTCGGCGACCAAGGACTTATAATCATCATCTGCCTTGCTGGGAGCCGAATGAGTTGCCGACGTGGCTGCCCATTGCTCCTCCGACTGCTTTCCACGTTTCGCCAATCTGTCCAATTCAATCGTCAACCTCTTGTCACACAGCTGGAGCTACAACTGGCCAGATATGTTCCAACATGCTCTTGTAGCGACTGGCCCCAGCGGAGTCACCCGCCTGGGTAGCATGGTCCACCGGCGCCTGCAACTCGTTGACCGACATGAATTCTGTGGTGACACCGCCAACTCCTCCAGCTACATGCGGGAGCTGAGAACTGGGCACCAGGGAGCCGAGGAGCACCAGGATGAGCAAGGACAGAATCATCGAAGGTCGTCGGGCTTAAACGTACCCACCGCTTCCAACCCTTCTTGCATCCAAATCGATCGCATCTCCACGTACGCGAAGTCGGCTTCTCGGACCCCCAATCGACCATGCCGCCCCACCTCTCGAGCGGTGGCGGGGCTGGTGGCGACCCTTGGCCCACGGAGCACTTGGCCAGCGGGAATCATCAGACTTGTGAACTCAATTTTGCCTCGAGCCGTGAGACCACCATGTTTTCGACTGCGCAAACCAAACATCCATCCCTCCCATGGCGGCCTGAGAGCGAAAGAACTTACCTCAGCGCAGTGCTGCTCTGAAATTCACGTGTGCAACGCCCGAACGACTCGAGAGGTAAACAGATGGGCAGACGGGGGAGGAGGAGGAGGAGGAGGAGGAGGAGGAGGAGGAGGAGGAGGAGCAGGAGGCGGGGGAGGGGGGGGGAGGCGGAGGGCGGAGGAGGAAACGGGAGGAGAGACGGGAGGAACGAGGGGTGGAGGGACAAAATGTTGATCTGGTAACCAAGCAATATTCGAATACGCTATTGATGACTGATGTTCGTTCAATATGTTTTCAGCCCTCTCGGGCTCCAACTGAACGCTTCTCGGCAAAATCCAGATTCCATGGCGCCTCAACTGCCAGCCAAACCCGATACGCCCGTTGCGGTCCACCCGCCCGCCCGTCCCGCCCATTAGGATCCGCCCTGCCCAACCCGCCCCATCAGGGTCCGCCCGCCCGATAGGGTATACACCCGCCCGTGGGCAGCCATGTCATCACCGTCGCTGGCGCTGTCGTAGTCGCCATTCTCCGTGTCGTTGTCTTCCGAGCATAGTCGTTCTCCGCGTCGTCGCCCCCGTGATCGATCGCGTCGCTATCGTCGAGGTCGCACTGGCCGTCGACGACGGGGACGAGGGAGGATAGCGGAGAAATCGAAGACGCATGGAGGACTGAGGAAGGACGAGGGACTACGAAGGAGTGAATGACTGCTCAATCCGCGTGCTGAACAAGGGAGGATGTGGCAAAGAACTTCGTTCGTCGGTCGCCGTCTCTTTCGTCGTCGTTATGCGCAGAAAGAGTTTCACTGTTGGCCAGGGCAGCATACGTGCCGCCTCACATGCTTCTGCCACGCGTGAGCCGTCTCCTCGGCTCGCGTGCGACAACCATACGGGTATCTGCGGTCTCGCGGCTGGGCCCCTGGGCCGCGACCCCGCGGACACGGAGCATTTTTACCGCGAAAGCCCCACGCGGAACGTCGCCCGCCAGCCAGTCGCGCACGCCAGCGAGAGGCGCGCCAGGCGCCGCCCGCACACGGCAGCGCTCCACCCCGCCCAGGGTCAGGAAGCGCACCTCGCCAAGAAGGGAACTCTAGCTTTCCGCTGTGACTTTCGCCTCCCCAGGCCCCCCGCGCGCCCCAGGGCTGTCAGAAAACGGCTCAGGATGAAAGTCTGCTCCACCGAGGGACGGCCTGGGCCCCGGGGTCCAGGACCAGTTCCCCTCGGGACCCGTTCCCTCCATGCCAAGCACCGCGCCACCGTCGAGCGACGCCTGCAGGAGCAGCGTCGCGCCGACGAGCAGGCGCGCGGTGTACGTCAGGCCACCGTCAAGCGCCGGCACGTTGCACTGGCCGGAGAGATTCCAGCCGAAAACCACGGCCGTGCCGTCGCTCCTGAGCAGCGCCGCGTGTTCAAATCCCCCGGCGACCTGCGTGTAGCTCAGGCCACCGTCCAGCGCCGGCACGTTGCACTGGCCGGCGTCATTCGCGCCGAAAGCCACGGCCGTGCCGTCGCTCCTGAGCAGCGCCGTGTGTCTGTCTCCCGCGGCGACCTGCGTGTAGCTCAGGCCACCGTCCAGCGCCGGCACATTGCACTGGCCGAGGCCATTCCAGCCGAAAACCACGGCCGTGCCGTCGCTCCTGAGCAGCGCCGTGTGGACGCCTCCCACGGCGACCTGCGTGTAGCTCAGGCCACCGTCCAGCGCCGGCACGTTGCACTGGCCGGCGTCATTCGCGCCGAAGGCCACGGCCGTGCCGTCGCTCCTGAGCAGCGCCGTGTTGAAGCATCCCGCGGCGACCTGCGTGTAGCTCAGGCCACCGTCCAGCGCCGGCACGTTGCACTGGCCGTCGTGATTCCAGCCGGAGGCCACGGCCGTGCCGTCGCTCCTGAGCAGCGCCGTGTGTTCGTATACCCCGGCGACCTGCGTGTAGCTCAGGCCACCGTCCAGCGCCGGCACGTTGCACTGGCCGCCGCGATTCGCGAAGAAAACCCACGGCCGTGCCGTCGCTCCTGAGCAGCGCCGTGCCGTCGCTCCTGAGCAGCGCCGTGTGTTCGCCTCCCGCGGCGACCTGCGTGTAGCTCAGGCCACCGTCCAGCGCCGGCACGTTGCACTGGCCGTCGCGATTCGCGCCGAAGGCCACGGCCGTGCCGTCGCTCCTGAGCAGCGCCGTGTGTTCGCCTCCCGCGGCGACCATTCGTGGGCGCGGTCGGGAGGCCCGAGGGCCCGCGGAGGGGGGCGCGCGCGGGCTCCTGGGAGCGCTCGGGGCTCCCGGGGGGGCCGCGGCTCGAGCCGGAGCGACAGGCGGGCAGAGGGGCGGCCCACGGGGCCCCCGCCCCTGGAGGCCTGGAGGCACCTCCAACTGCGCGTGCCCGCGCCCCGCGATGCTCTCGGGGCCCCTGCGAGGCCGTGCGACCGCGTGTTCGCGGGAACGCGCCCCGGAATCCAGACTGCGAGGGCGCGGATACAGACACGTTCGCCGCTCGCGAACCCTCTTCCTCCAAGACCCCTCTGCTTTACGCTCGAGAAATTACCAAACTAATCAATTTGCTTCGGGCGATCCCCACCCAAAAGCGCGGGGCGGGATACCCAGGGGGCGCCAACACGCTTCGGTTCGGGCGGCCGCGGTATGCAATCGTCATTCGTTGAAGCCCCTAGGCGGGATAAGGGAGCACCGGCACACCTTGGTCTGGCGGTCGTGGTAAGCAGGATGCGCGAGGCGGGTCGGGAGTTGTCCATAAATCAGAATTATCCCAGTGCGACCCTACCTAGGAGTTGGAACCCCTAGGAAAGCAGCATTAGTAGTAACAGTAACGCTAAGCTGAAGCTAAGCTAAAGCTAAGCCACAGCTAAGCTAAAGCTAAGCTAAAGCTAAGCTAAAGCTAAGCTAAAGCTAAGCTAAAGCTAAGCTAAAGCTGAGCAACAGCTAAGCTAAAGCCAAGCTACAGCTAAGCTAAAGCTAAGCTAAATATAAGCTAAAGCTAAGCTAAAGCTAAGCTAAAGCTAAGCTAAAGCTAAGCTAAAGCTAAGCTACAGCTAAGCTCAAGCTAAGATAAAGCTAAGCTAAAGCTAAGCTAAAGCTAAGCTAAAGCTAAGCTAAACGCTAAGCGAAAAGATAAGCGAAACGCTAAGCTAAAGCTAAGCTACAGCTAAGCTAAAGCTAAGCTAAAGCAAAGCTAAAGCTAAAGCTAAAGCTAAAGCTAAAGCTCCCAGGGGACTGGGGGGAACCGCTCCCAGGGGACTGGGGGAACCGCCTGGGGCGCTTTGCACTGCCCGGCCCCTTTAAGCTAAGAGAGTAAGAACCCTTCTAGGCAGAGCCTAGGTAGGGAAAAACCCAACCTGTCGGGTGGGGAACACATTCGAGGCCACACTAACGGCGATGCTGATCAACGGCGATGTTGGGAATCTGGTTCTTGCGACGCCGAACTCGCGCAGAACAAACTGTAGGAAAACACGAACAGCGCTTTCCTACAGTCGGGCTGGCCACGAACCTACATCGGTGTTAGCGCGTCTACGGCACATAAAACCCCACCATAACGGGCGGGCCTGGGTGCAGCTTTTCCCCGCCCGACAGGCTTGGGTGTGTCACCGACGCGCAGAGGGGGATGGGGGAAGGGGGAGTCCTTCTTAGAAGCATCCCTGCTTCTCAGTCTGGCGCATGCCTTATCCCTAGATGTAAGGATGGCGCCTTCTAACAAGCAGCTTCCTTCTAACAAGCTTTCTCTCCTCCCTCCACCCTCCTGCGCGCCGCCAAGGTGATGGGATTTGAAGAACACAAGAGATTCCCGTCATGATGCACATCGCGGTGGAAGGGCTTTGATCGTGTTCGGCCTCCGGGGACCTTCGCCAGGCCCCTTGGCCGTCAAGAGACGACTCAGGGTGATCGGCGGGTCCCAGGGAATGGGTCAAGGCCTCCAGGGGTCCACGCTGTGAAAAATCATGGTGATAAATAATAACAGTACCGTTGCTCGTTCACGAGGGGACCTGAATTAGGAGGGACAGAAACGCTAGGGACAGGGGCGTTTTATTGGTAGATGTGTCAGACGAAACCACCCACACTCTTAGGGATGAACCTGAAAAACGATTACCTAGATTAGGCAATGAGTTCGTTGCGTTACTGACCCTGCAAGGTCTTTAGAACCCCCAATAAGGGGTTAAGCCATTTTTTTTGTTGGCGGCCTTGTTGAAGGACTGGGGTCCCACAAATGGCGGGTAACTAATTTATGTGTCTTTCCGCGGCATCCGCCGCGCAACAACGACGACAGCTAAGACTACGATCGCGACTACGACTACGAGGAGGAGGGGGAGGAGGAGGAGGAGGTTTCAGGAACAGTCCGATTCACCGCCGAGGGAATTTGAGGGGGAACCAAAACGAAAGACCTCTGGCGGCTAGGGGCTGCATTATGCACATCGTGGCGTTAGCACCGCTCCCAGGCACGACTGCCGCCGCACGCCCAGCCAGCGGCGGGGAGCCTCCCCGAGGCCCGACGGTCGACTCGTGCCGCGGCGACCCCGGCGTCGGTGGGGGCGGGAGGCCCAGGCTCGAGGCTCGAGGCTCGAGGCTCGGGGCTCGGACAGGACTGGGTATCGGGCGAGGACTCGGGCCTGGGCTCGGGCTCGGGCTCGGGCTTGGGCATGGCTCGGGCTCGAGCTCGGGCTCAGGCTCGCGCTCGGTCTCGGGCTCGAGGCTCTGGCTCGAGGCTCGGCTCGAGGCTCGAGGCTCGGGCTCTGGCTCGGGCTTAGGGCTCGGAGCTTCTGACACCGCGTGTGTCGTTTGGTCTCGAACGATCGGCGGCTTCTCGATCGCCAGATCGTCGTTTGATGGCCGGATCTGGGCCACCAGCGGCGTGACAGGCCCGTACGGCGGGTTCGTGTCGCGGCGACGCCGGCGTCAGCATCTAACACCGCGTGGTCGTTCAACCTTGAAAGATCAGCGGCTTCTCGATCGCCAGATAGTCCCGTGCTAGCCGATTTTGGGCCACCGCTGGCGTTCGGCCCTGAGATCGCCCGCGGCGGGATCGCCGCCGCGTCGGCAAGGCACGAGCCTGCCGTAGATATAGGAACATAACACTGCATGAACATGCACTGTCAAGGGTCCGCGCGGATTTCTTGTATCAGCGCTGGACCGCGCGCCAAGAGCGGCGCCAGAGGCGCTGCCAGGAGGGCCCAGCGCAGATCTAAGATATCCACGCCTCCGAGAGTGTGTGCTTATGCAGTTTTCTTGTTCGGGCATAGAGCGATGCGCCGATGGGCGCACGCAGGTGCCGACCGTGCCCCGTGGATATGGCGCGCTTTCTTGTTCAGGGACGCCCCGCACGGATCCTCCGAAGGATCGCGCCCCGGAATCCCGACCGCGAGGTCGTTGGTATGGATACGCGTGCCGCTCGCCTACATCGTACGTTGCATTTCTGTTCACAACACCGACCCCCAGAGGTCTAGACTTCAGTCGGGCGTTTCCCCCTACAGGGGGATTTTCGATGAAAAATGAAAAATACCTCAAAAATACCCCAAAAAGATAAAAAAAATACTCAAAAAATAGTCCCCAGACTATTTTTTGGCATTTTTTGACTATTTCGGTGGTATGTATTATTTTTCGTCGAAAATTCCCCTGTAGGGGGACGGGCCCGACGTAAGTCTAGACCCTCTCCCTGGGACCAGCTGTTCAGCCTGAGCAGGTTTCTGAAGGTCTCCCAGGGCCGGCCGAGGGCCACCAGAGGCCGAACATGGCAAAAAACTGTCCGCCGTGACTTTTGTTCACGACGCGAGGGGGCACGTCCGCCGTTCGTGGTCGCCTGGGGCCCCCGCGCCGTTCGAACTGCGGCAACGAGGGCCAGTACTACTGGCCCTCGTTGCCGCGGGGAACTGCTGAGGGCTAAGCCCTCAGCAGTTCCCCGTCCAAGGCCTCCAGCACCGCGAGTCAAAACGTGCCGACACCATGCAGAGCGTGCCGAGGAGAGGGCAAACAAGGCGTGCCGACGGGCGCACGCAGGTGCCGACCAGTGCACCCGTTCCATGGCCCCCCTCCAGCAGGGCGCAGCACACACAGCATGCCGCCGCGAGCGCCACCGCGCCGGTGCCGCGCCTGCCGCTGGAGCTCGCCTCAAAGCCGCCCGCCATGAAGCTGGGGCTCCTGCGCGGGTCGCGTTTGGTCTGCCAGCGCGGCAGGGGCGGTGGGCTTTCGAGGTCCGAAATTCGGCGGGAGTGAACGCCAAGAACGCCACTAGCTTCAGACCAGGTTGCTCGTGTGTATTTTCAGTTTGGGGGAGCCTCTTGTGCCTGCACTGTGCCGAGAATGTGCTCGCGGCCGGCTGGACAGGCCAGCATTCACAGGCTGGCGCCGCCTTGCTATTGTAATTAAGCTAGCCACACCGAGGGCTCGTTTTATTCCAAGTCGGAGGGTTTCGGACGTTTTCATTCTTTCTACGCAGCTTTCCAGCCTCGGGATGCCTCCTACTCTCTAACACATCCGAAACTAGGACTCGTTGGTGTTTCGCCGCTTTCGACCTCCAGGGGGCCTCCCCAGGCCCTGGGACCGTCAAAAACGACTCGGGACGAAGAGAAAACCAGTCCCAGGGAAAGGGTCGGGACGTTTGGAGACCTGGACGGCAGGTTCGTGTCGGGACGACCCCCGCGTCGGTTTCTGACACTGCGTGGATCGTTCAACCTTGAACGATCGGCCGCTTCCGAAACGTCAGATCGCCCGACATCGACCGATTCTGGGTCGCTGGCGGTGCTCAACGTTGAACGCCACCGTTGAGGTCGCCGCCGGTCGACACGACACGAACGCACTGAAACAAAAAAAACATCGGATTTCCGGGACCGATCCCGCCGTGCGCCGCCGCAGTGCTCTTTCATCCCCTCTCCTCTCGCCCCTGTCTTACCTACTGAGGGCGAGACCAGTCGGAAACGTATGGGGAGCTCGGGTCGGACCAAAACGCGCGTCGGATCGGGATGCCTCGGCAAATCGCCACCCGGACGAGATCGGGCCAAATCGGCTGCGTCAGGATGCACGGCTGCGCCTTGCAGCAACGGGCAATCTCGGAGATCGGAATGGAATCGAATTGGAACGGCCGAGATCAATATCCAGCCAGATCGATTGGATCGAAATGGCTCCTGCTAGGGAGGGCTCTCTGCGGCCATCCCCCCCTGCCCCCCAGGCACGGACGTTCTTTACAATTACTCAATATGAATACGACTCTTCCTCTTCCCCTGATGACGGTGTGAAAGTGTCCGACCCCCCCCCCGCGTACTGTTTTTTACACACAGGTTTCCCTGGAGTTGGGTTTTCGCCTGCATTTTTTCAAAAATGCTGCTCTCGCTGAGGCGCCGGCCTCATTTTCGGGCCCCGCTCGTTCCGAATCGTGCTCCAGCTGCAGCGCTGGCCTCATTTCCGTGCTTCCGCTCGTTCCGAATCGTGCTCCCGCTGCAGCGCTGGCCTCATTTCCGCGCTTCCGCTCGTTTCGACTCGTGCTCCCGCTGCAGCGCTGGCGTCATTTTCCGTGCCATGCCACGGCATGCAATGCAATGCTAGGTTGATACTACGCTTTGCGGTGCTCTTCTACGCCATACCATGCCGTGCTCTACAATGCATCGCGTACCCTTTCGGGATCATTGCCCTGCTCGACATCCGACTGTGCGAGTAGAGAGGGGATCTGCGCCATGGTAAGGGATGGGAGGGAGGGGTAGGATGTCAGATACGACGCGAGCGCACCTAGCTTGCCTCAGCCCCCTCCCCTGCCCACCCTGCCCTCCATCCATTACCCCTCCCACTCCCGATCGCGCCTTTCCTTGCATCACTGTACTTCGCCCCCTCCTCCCCCACCCTTCCCCGCCGACTGGGACAGAACAGTGTAGAGCGCACTGGACATTATTCGCACGAGCAAGAATTCAGGCAGGGGAATGAAATAGCGGGAGGGAGGGGGGAGGGATTAAATGGGGGAGGGGGGGAATGAGAATGAGGGGGGAACCAGAGACGGAACGAGAATTTGGCGGGGGAGGGAAAGGGGGAGGGAGAAAAAGGGAGGGAATGGGGGAGGGAGGCAGAGAGGGATGGGACACGCCACTGCGTAACAAAACGGCGCGGCATGATCACCGTGCTGGCGGAGACGAAATAAGTTGATAACAGAGGCGCGGACCTTACACGAATTAGCTGGGGCGGGGAGTCTCATTAGAAAAACAGCCATGATGCGATGCTGAAATAGAAAAAAATGTCTTCTACGCGATAGGTGAAGGTCACGACTTATCAAATCCTGGCGTCGCCCCAAGTGAGCCCAAAAAGATTAACGGGTGCGCTGGCTCCCTGCTCGCTCCAGGAGCCGGCTAGCTCCTTGTAAAGCCGGGAAGGGGGAAGGATGAGGCGAATCGCTGTGACTTGGCCCAAGGCGTGGCTACATATTCACTGCGTAAGGAAGGTATTAGCTGCGCGCCCTTCAACGTAGAAGGTTACAGCTGTCTTATCCGGCCGAAGGCAGCTGTCGGCAATTCCGCCTACACCTTCGGAGCGGCCTACTAGAGCATGCTGAAGTTTGTCGCCAAGCGTGTGGAAAGAACAAAAAAAACACTATTGCTTCAGCTTGCTGGAGGCTTACCTGAGATGAGCGACCGCTGATCGACGACTCTACAACTCAACTCTGGCACCTACACGCGCGAGCGCTGGGCGACGCGAAGGGTAGGCAGTGCGAGCCGCTGGCCAAGTGTCTGGCGTCAGGCTGCGCGGCCAGCTGTGAGGCCAAAGGGGGATATGCAGTCCCAAAATTGGGTGAGCCTGCGGCCAGGTGCCAGGCAACAGGCTGCGTGGCCAGAGATCCAGCCGCAAAACAATCTGCATGACCGATGACGGGCGCCTGCTGCAAGGCATCAAAAAAATGGGCGAACGCCCGCGGCCGGTCGCCCGCTGCCGGGCAAAAAAACTACATGGTCCGCAGCCCCGCAAGGGGAAGGTTCAGCGCCGCGTGCGCACTGCAATACGAGGATGTGACAGAGAGTTCTTTACAACGCGCTGAAATTACTGATGCCTCGGCACCACTTTTCAAACAACTCAAGATCACGACTACCTTTAGCACGTCCGTGTGCTGCCATGTCACGTGCGTGACATCACTGAGCACAATGCACAACATTCCTCACCAGCATCTGTCTGTTCCAACTGATGTGCCCATGTATGATACATTCCGCAAGATGTGGCAGGTCCTTGCTGAACAGCGATGCAAACAAATAATCGGCATCGATGGTAAGAGATACGGTCAGGCATAGACCACCCCCTTTTCAAATACGTTTGATAAATCCTCTGGGCAGAAAGTAGTTCCCATCCTGAGTTCTTGTAGCGCGACTATGGTCGGGTAGCAGTCATCGAGATTATGTGCCGCAGCTAGCACTTCCGCTCAGTAGCTTGAACGCACTTGAAGTCCATGTGAGTCGCAGCATGCTTCCACGAGGTGGAGAACGGCGGCGCCGATTCGCGCACTGCCCCGCCGTAGAAGGTTTGCCCCGCGGATGCCGCATCCAATTTATTCATCGCCCGCGTCCCCCGTCAAACGGCGGCATCCAGCGTCGCTATGAATATCTACCTCGCCCGTTGGTGTCGTGGCTGGATGCGCGAGTTCCCCTGGACAAGATGTAGCGTTGTGGTTGCAGCGCGCAGCCTTCGATCCCGCATGTTCGCAAGCCCCTGAACGCGATGGAATGAGACGAGGCGAACAATGAAACGCGCCTGCGTCCAGTGCGCCCCATCAGACTCATGGGCGCGCCTGCCGCAAACTTGCGAGGCTTCCCCTCGGGCGCCGTTCCCGTCAGTTCGGGGCGCCGGATAGCTCTCGGCCGTCGCCGGTCGGGGGAGTGGAACATGGCACACCGCAGTGGGAATGTGCGCGGCCACGAATGAAGCAATGCCCTTGCTGAGCAAACTCCCCCTTCCACCCTTGCCCTTGCTGCGCCCCCTTGAACGCAACGTGCGTCGTCTACATCTACGCACTCGCCGTAGAGGTTCCTTAACGAACCCCCCTTTCACCTCCTCTTTGCATGACGCGTGGCAAGATTCAAAAATTCAACTTTTTGGTCGCCAGCAAGATGTGCTGGCATGTATGTCATAAAGGCCGATGAATATTCTACTTCTGGCGACTCGGCATCTGCATCAGCGCCAGAGCTGAAGGGCGAGGACGGCCAGCTGGGCCACCTTGTTCCTTAAGGGTCGTCGTAAGTAATGTGTGCTTGGTAGGTGGCGTTCAGGTCCACTCGTTGCCGCCAGCTGCCCGGCTGCCAGTCGCCTGGCCTGCGAGAAGGGATTTGCCATCAGTGGGATTGTCTCGCCACACGTTGCGGCCAGTAGCTGCTTGTTCCCCGCCGCTGCCGCTGAAGAAAAGGCGTAGTCGGGTTCGAAGTTGGCGCAGCGTGACGCGCTGCCCCGTCTTCGTCCAAACGCCCCCCCATGTTCCCAGGAGGCCGTTCGGCAAGGTGGCCAGATGGTCGCACTCGTTCAAGTTGTGAATCATAGTATACATGGGTCCTGGGCATCTCGTGGTTAAGTGGCTGCAACATTTGCGATACTCGCACTGGCCCTACCTGGCGAGCCGAAAACAAGATCGTGGTCAGGATCTGGATGTTGGGGATGTCAAATCCAGCTGATTCGGTCTAAAGTCTGGCCACCTGAAGTCTAACGAATGTCGAATCGATCCGTTCACCTTCAGGTACACTAGTCACTGAATCGAGTACCCACATCGACTTGTCGCTCGTCTTCTGAATGCTCGGATGTGTCGCTTAGTAGGTACAGGAGATATGTCACAAGACTGGTTATCACACCATTAACGTCTACACCGAAGTTGATGGTATGTGTTGAAATACGCATATGTATGATTCGTGCCAAGCCCGAAAAGCCTCGGCTGGGGCGGCCGTTTTCTTTTTTAGCCGAGCTTGGACCTCGTATTCACATGTCCCGAAGGGCACCTTGCCCGCAGGGTCCCAAAGAGGTAATATTGTGATTGTGGCGTCGTCTGCGCCACGCCGCATGCAGCTCACAACAAAGCCCAAAATAACCCACATGATGCCAAACATGGTGATCTCACGATGGCGGTTTAATTTCGAAGTGTTCTGCGGTTGCTCTGGTTTCTTGGGGTGGTGGTCTGATG